AGCAGGTGCATTGTGCAGCTCTGGGCTCATGTTGGTGGCCACATTTGGGCTTCACGGCACCCCGCAACACCCCTAAAGTGCTTCAGAATGAGCCTCTCCCAAATGTGCCACTTTGGCATGTGGGGTATTTTAAGTGGAAGACAATCAAGACCCAAAACACTCAGGAAGAGCTTTTTGCCTCCTGCTTATCTGCCTCTAAGAATTTAGTTGGGGGGCCTAGTCCAGAAAGAGAGAACCCACCACAGAGAGCTGCAGTCTGGATGATGAGGGGTGTGTGTGGGGGGTGCTCCAGGCCTGTTTGTTGATTCCACTCTGTGTCCCATTGTCTCTGCATGGTGTGACAAACATTTGTTTCCCAAACATTTGCTCTTCCCATCTTCCTGTGAATTAACTTCCTTCTCTTTGAAGCCCCACAGCCCCACCCCTTCCCTTTAGCTCAGGATGGCAGACAGGCATCAACTGCCTAACTTCTTTGAACCACTCGTGGCTCTGTGAGGCTCTAGTACACATGAAATTAACATTTTCTCTTCTTAATCTGTTTTGTGTCAACTTAATTAATAGGCCAGCCAAAGAATAAAAAGGGTAGAGGAAAAATTTTCCTCCCCTACACCCTGATGTCATGGGATTGGATGCTTGCCCCTTCTGTGGGCAGTTGCCTCTTCTGCTAGGGGTGGGATTGGGGGAGTGTGTGTGTGTGTGTGTGTGTGTGTGTGTGTGTGTGTGGTAAGGAGTGTTGTACTGACTGGCATCCTGCTGCCTGCTGCCCACTGTTTGTGCCCATAGGAGCTTCATGTGGGAGGGCAGTAAGAGCCCTCAGCTGAGGGCCTCGAGTCCTTTCTCTGCCACCTACCACCGAGTGGTTGTGAGCACTCATAGCCTCTCTGAAGCTCAATTTCCTCATGTGTAAAATGGCCATCAAGACCACTCTAACAAAGTGTGAGGATGTGATGCGAAGGGATGGCATATACAAAATTGCCCAGCTTCTAGAAGGTGTTACCCCAGTGACACCTATTCCCTTCCTATGTGCTGAACTGACCAGGCACTGTTCTGAGCTGCACCCACAGGTGCCAGTTTTAGTGGCTCACCCCCATGCTCATCCACACACAATCACTCTGTGGCTGAAGAACCTGAGACCTGCATGGGTTTGACAAAACTAGGTCAAGGTCACATATATGAGGTTGGCAGCAAAGCCAAATTCTGGACATGCTCTATTCCCAATCTCAAGCCTGCACTGTCTCTATGACACTCAGGACTTTTTCTGGACCTCTCCCTGGAAATTAGTGAAAACCTTCCAAAAGAAGTAGCAGAGAGAAGGCAAAAAGACAAACAGATTCCCCCAAGTCAGAGTTCGGTTGGTTGTCTCACCAACCAGAAGGAAAGAGTACTCAAGCAAGTTCCCTTAGGTGGGATGAGGCCCAGAATGCAGAGGGCTGGGGAGAGGGAGAGAGGCGGGGAGGACCCGGCATTGGTATTACACTCGGGAGACCGTGTGGAGTGGAAGAGCAAGGGCCGTGAATCAGAGCAACCTGGGGTCAAATGCTACGTTTGCTATTCACAGACTGTGTGACTTGGGGAAGTCGTAAACTCTATGAGTCTCAATTTATTTATTGGAAAGTCCACCATCATCAGTCCCCACCCCCACCCATCTCAGTCTCTGTGCCTCTGTCTGGGTTGTTGTGAGGATTATATGATAAAGGAGCTAGTTTGTACAACATACCTAGTGTGGAGCCTGGACAGAAGAGGCCCCCATAAGTGCCACTTCCCTCCACTCCCAGTGGCCTCGTCCCACCGCTAGAGGATTAATTAGATAAGGCGTTTGCTAAGCAGGACTCCCTCAGGATGGATATGCTCCCTCTCTTCTCTTTTACAAAACAGGCTCCCAGACTGGCGAGGGCTCTTACTGGGAGAGTGAAAATAGAAGTGAGTAATAACTGCCTTGTGGGACTCTCCCCATGGGAACTGGGTTCTGGTCATAGAAAACAGACCCTTTGATGGTTTCGTTGAAATATCTTAGGAGCCAGAGGAATAAAAGGCTAAGTTAGTCACCCTTTGTGAAGCTACAATCAGGAGGCCATGTTTATTTTGCCCAGCCAGATCCTGCACTAAAATATATCATACAATTAGATGTTCTTGAAAAATATGAATTATGGGTTCTCTGTAACCAGGGCTGGGCAAGTCTCTTCTTTTAAGAATCTGCAAGTATTCACCAAATGCCAGCTAAATAGGCTTGGAAGGCCCCAGTCAGAGATGATCATGACCATGATGGGTGGAGAAACGTGTAGTTATGGGACCTAGATTAAAGGCCTTGTGCCAGTACCGTCAACAGAAATTTCTGTGATGATGGAAGCGATCCATTTCTGGCTCTCCAATATGGCAGCCACGTATCTGAGCACTTGAAAGGTGGCTAGAGTGACTGGGGAATCAAATGTTTGATTGCGTTTAATTCTAAGTAATTTAACTAGCCACAGCTACCATACCAGGTGACGCAGCATTATGCAGATTAGAAGCTGCTCCAGAACAGGTGGAGTCTCACCTGGGGATAATTCCCACCCATACCCAAGGCAGCTTGGCGTGACTCCAGGGATGCTACTCCCCACGAGTGAACAGATTAGGATTTTGCTCCCTGGAAGGACTGAAGCAGAACGGAGGAGAATTTGGAACACGCGGAGAAGGGGAGGCTACAGTGCAGGCCACAGCTCAGCAAGGGGCTTCTGTTAGGGGCTGAGATGGGTTCTGACAGTTTCAGGCAGTCCTGACTGCCTGGATAGCCTCCATATCACTGGCCTCGGTGGTCCCACTCTCGTCGGAAGAGTCTGGAGCAAGATGAATCCTTGGCAATAAAGACACCTGAGTGTTGTCTCCAAGGGACCCCCTGCCTGTCTTCCTGGGATGGCACTGAGCATGTACATATGGGAGGGGGCTGGTCTCCAGTGAACCCCATGAGTTAGGGACTCTGACTACTCTGGTTCAATTTACGTTTGAAGAATAAACGTATGGATGAACACAATGGTTTTGGTAGCTGCTGGGGCGGGGTGGTGCTGCCTGAATGCAGTGCTCCGGTCCTCCTTCATAGGAAAGGGACCCCTGGGAGTTCACGCCAGCAGCATGTGCTGGTCCTTGCCTAAAGGGAGGAATTCAGCCTGGTTGTGCCTATTGGTCTTCCTTTCCCCTCTTTCTTCTCTACATGCTTGCCTTCCCCGCCGCCCCCCCCCCATCTCCAAGCCCCCAGTAGATGTCCTCCAGCTGGACCAACCTCCTCACTTCAGGACACCCCCAAGCTGTGGAAGGTGAAAAGTAGTTTCCTTTCTTCCCTGCTGATCTCAAGGAGAAAGCAAAACCTTCCCCTTCTTCTCTCCTCCCTCCCTCACCTCCACAAACAGACAAGGGGCAGGTTCCTGAGGAAAGAATAAAAAAATAAAAATCCCTCAACTAGTTGTTTGGAGGTCCGGGTCTAAATGCTGACTCTGCCGAGAATTCACTCTGCGTCCCTGGGCCGATGATTTTCCCCAGCTGAGCCTGGGTGTCTGCGGCTGTGAAATGGCAGGGTAGAACAGCCTCTAGAAATGCTAACATCCCATGATTTACAGTAGATCCAGTGAAATGTGCTTATCGGAGGGGCTTAATCACTCCAGGGAGCTTTTCCATTTAAAAGAGGAGCCGGTTAACCCAAATGAGTGTCTAATTGGCAGCCTGCCGTGGGGGAGCTCTCTGAGGCAGGAGCCCTTCCAAATTCCCTCGGCTGATTTCGGATGGTACCTTCTCCTCCACCCCGAAGGGGCAGTCAGCAGAAGGGACTGGCTGGCCCCTCAGGCAGGAAGGATCCGCCTTCACTGTGGTGCTCTCTGAAGCTATCAGCTGCCGGCAGCGGATTTCTGTCATTCCTGGGCTTCACGGAAGGGAAATCTGGCTGGAGAGCACAAGTGCAGATAAACAGGAATCCTGTGCTTAAAAAATAAGTCGCCTGGGAACTTGAACTTGTGAGTGTGATAAAAAAAGGAACACAGACCGGGAGTCGGATGCACCTGGTTGTTGGCCTCCTTCCAGGCTGTGTGGCCGTGGGCAGGTCACTCCCTGCAAGCTGCGCTTCCCTCCTCTTGAAAATGAGATCCTTACCCGCCCTGCCGACCTTGCTTGGCTGTTGTGGGTTCCACAAAGAGGTGATGGCTGCATCTGATGTTTTGTATAAAAGGCTGTGCAAATGCGAAGTGGTGGTGACGACATGTTCACCTTCTGCCTCCACAAATATTCTGGGCGGTGATAATCAAACAGCGCAGCGCCCAGGTCCTCTGGGCGCCATGAGCATGTGCAGTGAGACAGTAAGACGCTAAATCACTCAGGAGCTGTCGAAAGGATGAGACAGAGATGTTAATGGTGGCAGATGTCAGCTTGTTCACTCCTGGAGGAGTTGGGCTTCGGTGGAGCCTTTCTCTGCTGGCTTCAGCCCCCAAAGAGGCGCAGCTCCGACCTCTGCTTCAATCCAGGGAGGGACCGGGGCTCGGTTTCTGTCCTGGGGTTAAGGATCTGATGAGGAAAGCTGGAAGCCAAACTTCATCTTTGGAGGGTCTCAATAAGACAGTGATACCCTGTAAGATCAGCGGATCCCAACTTTAGAGGAAATGAGGAGCCACAAACATAGCCCGGAGCCTCCTTTTTTCATGGAAGCTGTGAGCAGAGCTGGAAAGCGCTGGGTTCCAGTTGGGGTTTAAAGACGCCTCCAGGTCCCTGCACAATGACACCTGGGTGGTCGACGGAACTGCTCAGGGCCTTCAAGATCTAACATCCTAGGGGACCATGAAAGTGGATGAAAAGAGGCTCACCCAATAATCGTTTCAGAAAGTATCAAGGTTTCTCCTCCTGGCACTTGGTGGCCAGGTGGACACACTCTTGGGAACAGAGAGAGAGAGAGAGAGAGAGAGAGAGGCTGTGTGGACATCGCCGTCTGGAATCTGTGGTTCGAGGAACACTGAAAGCAGAGCGAGCCTTTGGCCACCCACACTCACCTTTGAAGGGGGACTGGGCGCGCGTGGCCAGGAAGAGCCTCTTGTTCTTCTGGCCCTTCCGCTGCGGGCGGACGTGGTAGCCCAGCGAGCTGCAGCGGCCCCTCCGGCAGCTCAGGCACAGGCCCTGGCTGAACCTGTCCATGTCGCCGCACTGGTAGGCCGTGCTCTGCTGGCTGGGGTGCAGCAAGGAGTCGATGAAGAGATGCACCGACCGCTCGTGGGAGCACTTTATGGTCTGAGTGATGGCTGGAACACAGGGCGAGAAGGACGTCAATACCCCCTCGGTTTTCCAAAGTACCCTCTCCTCAAAAGATCGTCCTCTTTCCAGTGCAGATTCGCGGCATGTTGGGAAGGAGGGGTGGGGTTGCTGAGGCTGGCCCACTGGCGACACTGGGACGGAATCCGTGACTGACAACTCCAGGAGCAGGCCCCTCTCAGTCACGAGGCGGAGAGGCATCACCCCAGGCACCCTGGGGCTCCTGAGGGTGCCCTGGTGTTTTAACCGGAAGCCTAAGTCCCTAAGAAAATACTGAATTATTTAAGAACACAGGGTAGTGTGATTTATTTAAAAAATATTTATGTCTTGGGGCCCCTGGGTGGCTCAGTCGTTAAGCGTCTGCCGTCGGCTCAGGTCGTGATCCCAGGGTCCTGGGATGGAGCCCCGCATCGGGCTCCCTGCTCGGCGGGGGGGTCTGCTTCTCCCTCTCCCACTCCCCCTGCTTGTGTTCCCTCTCTCGCTGTGTCTCTCTCTGTCAAATAAATAAATAAAATCTTTAAAAAAAAATTTGTCTTAAATGGCTACAGATGTGCAAGTGCTCATGGCTTGGGTTGAGGTAGCTGGCTCGTGTGGGATGCCCCTTTTCTTAACCACGCTAGGCAAATGAGAGCCAAGGTACTGTTGGGGCTCGGCTAAACAGGCCTGGTGAAAGCTGAGTCCTCTCCCACAATGTCTGCCCTCTGTCCTAAAGCAGCCATTGCCTCCACTGGGTAACTGGTCTGTAAAACCAGCAAGGGGATTGGCTTCTAGAAGGATGCATCCAAGTGACCAGGTCTACATGGGCCCAAACAGCAAGGTTAGGAGGTTTATTTACCGTGAGTTTTTGACCTTTTAAAAAAACTCTCCATTAATTAATTAAAAATTAATTAATCACTTAATTTAATCTTTAATAAATTATTCTCAAGGGTGTGGAAGAACCACCACAAGGTATGTAAAGTACCTAATGTGAAGGTACAGCACAGGTAGCTTTGCCAAAAGCTATTTCTCCCAGTGTCTGAAGGCTAAATGCCCAGACGGGACACCTGGCTCTTGGTCTAGTGCTGCATTTTTTGAGCACCTACTATGAGGCAGGTACTATGCTGAGTGCTTTCCCTCATCCAGTTCCTGAATCTCACCACAGCCCCTTCAGGCAGCTGTTCCAGATGAGAAGACTGAGCTTCAAAGGCATTCCAGCTCCCCTAGCCGGGAGGGGTTGGGGTGGCAAAGCAGTTACCAAATTACCTTCTGTTCAGATGCTTTGCGAGAACCACCCCAGGATGGGATCACTTTTAAACTTAAAGGTGAAGAAAACCGAGAAAAACCACACCAAAATTGGGCAAGCAAAATAAGTGTACATCGTACCACCACTGGGAAGGTTTGCACAAAAGAGCAAATGGTACTAACAGAGATGTATTTATCAGGCAACTAGTTACTCAATACCAGGCCTGTATTGAGCTTTGGGAGGGAGTGGATCTGGGAGGAGGGCTGGTTGGTCAGCCGGGAATGGAGCAGGCCCCCATGGATGACTGGTGGGGCAACGATGTGAGGGGCATGTGAGGAATGACGAGGGGAAGTTCCCAGAAGGTTCTCTCAGGTGTGGGCGGGTGGAAGGCTGGGAGTCCAGCCAAAATGAGATAATGTTGAGTGTGAAGGTCATTCTGATACTGGAGAGGTGAAGGTGGTGATGTAATCACAGGAGACTGGGTTCTCAGCTGGGTTTTGGATGATGGAGGTGAGAAGGAGGTACATGGGGTGGGGGAGGAGACGGGCTCCAATTGGCTTAGCGTGAGTTGGCATGTTTTCATCAGGATGATGTTTTATAATAATGAGAGATTTGGAACATCCATGGAATGTATGCTTTTTGCTGACAGGCTTGTTCTTTAATCCTGTGCGTGTTGTCAACGTGCATGTCAATATTTTAGTCTAGGATTTGAGAGAGAAGTGGGATCACAACCCAGATAATGCCACAATCCAGTTTCTGCCCTGAGATAAAGGAAGCGACAAAGACATGTTTAGAACTGAATTTTGAATTGGAAGAATCCCAGTAAGGTCCTGCAGGACCAGCTGATTACAGCTCCCAGGAGTGGAAGAGTTACTCCTGCTCTAGTCAGACCGGAGATCGAGATGCTAAAGATCAAGGATCTAGTAAGTGCATCCTCATGTGGCCCAGAATAGAGGAAGCCCCCTGGGTGAGGAAACTTCTGGAGAAGGAGGAGTGACCACAGGCATCAGGACTCCACTTTCAGAATTGCTAGTATCCCTGGAGAGACTTTGTTGGGTACCCTGGGAGAGGCGAAGAAGTGGGGATTCCTGGTGGCTCCCCCAGCTCATTGTCAGTTAAGAGGAGGGCCTGCTGGAGGGACCCTAGCCCTTACCCACTCTCCCTCTGAGTGAGCTTGGTGACCATATACCCTGGGTTCCCGAGCCCTTCCCAGAGTACTGGATCTGGGGGCTGTGTGCAAGTATGAGGGGTATAAGCCAGGGCAGGCTAGTGCTTTTCCCCACGCCTTCTTTCTCACCATTTAAGCCGTGCTTGGTAATATGTTTGTAGAGCTCTAGGAAGTGGCAGCCAGGCTGGAAGTAGCCCCCGTTGGGGTAGAAGTCATAGTGTGCTATGGACTGTTTGATGCCCACGCTCAGGCCCATGTGCTCCCGGGTGAAGGTGTGAATGGCATCCACGAAATTGGCATCATCTGGTGAAAGACGGTCCCTGGGCAAAGATCCTTCGAACAAAGGGCCGGCGGCATCCAGCCCTAACAGGAGAGCAAGGGTAAGGGTTAGGTGGGGACAAGGGGAAGAAAGGAGAATGCTTCTTTAAGCTTTCTGATGTTATTACACATTCATGAGCTAGCAGGAAGAAGAAAATCCTAGGGGATAATCTTTCTCTAGAAAATCTTGCTATAACCTTTTGGCAGTAAAACCACAGTAATTCATGGTGCCGAAAATTAGACACGGGCCGCACATTATCTATGGGGAAGAGGTCTGCAGGAACTACCCAGTGGTAGAAATAAGGTTAGGAGGGAATGCTTGATTTATTTAAGCAAATCAATTTTAAGTACCTCTCAAGCTCCTTTCAAGAGCATCTGTTTGCCTACAAAAAACCACTGTGCTTATAATTGTAAGTAGTTCTAACCTACCCATCAGAGAAAGATTTTATTTGCCTGTATGTTGTCAATAATTTCCCTAAACAAGCTGGCTTTTCTCCCACACCAATGTCATTTCATTAGAATGTCCAGAACAGCCTCGGGGCATGACTGTTCCCGGGTGAAAATGTTGTGAGCAAATAGGACTGCTCAAAGCTCTGGTCAAGTGACAGATGTGTGTGCGTGAGACGAGTGGCAGCTCCTGGCTGACTGTCGTTGGGGAGTATTTATGCGCTCAAGGTTTTTCCTCTGTCTTTCTTCCTTACCTTCTCTGGAAGACCCTTTGATGTCCCACATCAGCCCTGGCTTCTATCCCTGTTGCGGGTGAAGGAACTGACAGGGGGCAGTGAGAGCGCCTGTCTCCAGCTCTCATCCATAGTCACAAATGAAAGATGTCTTGGTGTGATTTATAGTCCGTTCTTCATGGGGCTGAGTATGAGAGGACAGGGGTAATTAGCTGTCCCGCTGCCTCTGTCATGAGTGGGCCTGGCTAATAATGCCTGATGTGGCCCATGACACCCGCCAGAGTGGAGACGGTGCTGGGCCTGGTGCCGCCTCTCTGTGATTCTGACTCAGCCTTCTAGGCCTGGTTCCTTGGCGATGGGCCTCATTGGCCTTCTGTGAAGGTCTGCTCACCCCCAGCCTAGTGAGGGTTAAATCACAGAGCTGGAGGCACAAATACTGGCCTGCCAACCAGGTCTCCCCAGTTACCGGCAAGCTCAAAAAAGTAAGGATGAGGAAGGGAGTTCTCATAATGACAAATTTATTTCGTTTAAATGTCTGCCATTATTTCTATCTTTTTTTACATTAAAACCAACCTCTTCTTTGGTGAAGTAATGGTAATAGTAGATATTAGCTGTCAAAAATGTTCTTACTTGATAAAATGGGGTCATGGGGCGCCTGGGTGGCTCAGGTGGTTGAGCATCCTACTCTTGGTTTTGGCTCAGGTCATGATCTCATGGGTTGTGGGATCGAGCCCCAAGTTGGGCTTCATGCTCAGTGGGGAGTCTGCTTGAGATTCTCTCTCTCCCTCTGCCCCTCTCTCCACTCTCTCTGTCTCTTTCTAAAATAAATAAATAAATAAATCTTTTTAAAAAAAATGAAAGGTCACAACAATGCTATTCATCTTGAATTTCCTTTGAACTGTTTTAGCCTGTGAAGTATTGTTTTAGCCTGCTGGGTTTCTAAAGGATGAGTAGGAGTTTGGTAGGTAGACTGGGGCTGGGTGGATAAGTTGTGGTAAGATATTCCAGGCAGGGGGCATCTGGATGGCTCAGTCGGTTGAGTGTCTGACTTTGGCTCAGGTCATGATCTCAGGGTTCTGGGATCGAGCCTTGCGTTGGGCTCCCCACTCAGCGGGGAGCCTGTTTCTCCCTCTCCCTCTTCCCCCTCTCGTGCTCTCTTTCTGTCTCAAATAGATGGATAAAGTCTTAAAAAAAAAAAAAAGATATTTCAGGCAAAGGGAAAAGGACCTGCAAAGTCCCAGAAACACAGGAGGCCATGGTGTGTTTGTTAAGTAGAGAAAGACCTAGTGTCATGGAAGCCTGGGACTACAGGAGGAGGGCAGAAGGAGGAGAGGTCACAGAATTCTGGAACACTAAACTGAGAAGGGCCTTGTCTGGCTTGCTTTCTTTCTTTCTTTCTCTTTCTTTCTTTCTTTCTTTCTTTCTTTCTTTCTTTCTTTCTTTCTTTCTTTCTTTTTAAATATATTTATTTTTAGAGAGAGAGAGAGAAAGCATGTGTGCAAGTACCAGGGGGAGGGGGCAGAGGGAGAGGGAGAGAAAGTCTTAAGCAGACTCTGAAATGAGCATGGAGCCTGACATGAGGCCCGATCTCATGACCCTGAGATCACAACCTGAGCCAAAACCAAGAGTTGGATGCTTAACCGACTGTGCCACCCAGGCGCCCCTGGGCTTTCTGAGTTTTATCCTGTGGATATCTGTGGGCCTTGGGGACTTGGCTGTGGCACAATCCGATCAGATGTGTTCTTCCAAACAGAACTGTGGGGTAGCGTTGGGGGATGAGGTTGGTGTCAAGGAGGCCTGGGAGGAAAGGCCTTCTTGCACATCCCCAGCTCTCCCTGAGTATCTGGAACCATTTCCAAGTCAGTGTGGTGCCCCCTCCCTCAATTCAAATGGGTCCCACAGTAAGACCCATGTGTTTCACAAATGTGGAAACTGAGGCACAAACGTGGCCAATGTTATCACAAATTTCGGGCTGTGATCCTTTAACTTGCTCATATTGGGCTTTTTAAACTATAGGTTGAAAAATAAACTCTTTCCTGGTAAAAAGTGTATGGAAAGTCTACTTTTCAGGTCCTATCTGGCATGACTATGAGAGGCACCCACTGGAGGAAAGGCAATAGGAGTTGGGGCTGTGATTTACTCTGAATTCTTGAGAGACAGCCATCTAGGACAGTGGTCATGCTTAAAACAGGGTGAAGGAGGCTGGGGGCATGGTAGTTCCGGGCCTGTTGTAGAAGCGGATCCTGCTCCGCACCCCCGCGAGGTCATTGGTTATCAGCACGGTTACCTGTGATTCTCCCAATCTTGTGCTTTCCGCCCATGTAACTGCCAGCGAATCCTGAGACATGGGCACCCAGGCTGTACCCAATTAGATGAACATTGCTTCGAGAAAACTGAGCAGATTCCTGGAAGACAGAGGCAAGATGGTTACGGCGGAGGGCTCCCAGACAGAAACCTTGTGTGGGTCCAGCTCGTTCTGGGCTCCCCCCTTGTTCTTTGTCCCAGGTGGTAAATGAGGTGCTTAATTCAGCCTCCTGACCCAAACTGGTTTCTCACCTTGCTGGCGCCCACCTTTCAAGCTCAGCTACCTGGGACCGCCCCTTGGGGATGCAGCCCCCTGCCTGCCGGCCTTTACTAGGACATGCACGCCCTGCACAGTGCTGCTGTCCATTTCTGTGGGGTTTGATGGTATACGGGTGTGCTTAGATCCCTTAGCACATCCAAGGGAGTGAGCGTAAAAGAGATAGTGGATGGGGGAGGGGGAGGGAAGATAGTTCTGCCAAATAGGGGTTCAAGCAAGGCATCTGAGGGAGCCCCAGTGTCTCGTCTCCACCCTGTGCCCTCCCATTCCTATGAGCTTAGTAGAGTGGTTCTCCTGTCTGGGCTGCTTAGGAGACCAGCTTAATGCACTCAGTCTCAGGAGAAGGGCGAGGAGGGGAGGGGAGGGGAGGGCGGGGCAGGCCTTACCTCCAGCCACTGGATGAGAGCCGCCACCTCCTGGCCCACAAGGCGGGTGTTGCGGACAGCGATGGTGTAGTGATGGTAGGCCAGGGTGAGCCAGTCGGCCAGCCCCACGTTCACGGGCTGGGCCAGCCCAGACTTCAGGGCAGCAACCATCTGCCAGATCCAGTTTTCCAGGAAGCCGTCCACCTGCGGGTGGGCCCACAAAGTCGCCAGCTTAACCGGGAGGGGACACGGAGGTGGGGCACTGAACTAGTCTCTTCTTTCCCCCATTCACCTTTTTTTTTTCTTTCCCAACTCTTGGCTAATTAAGGCTGGATCCTTCTTTCCAAAAGAAGGGGCTTTATGTAGGGTTTCTCGACTTTGGCACTATGGACATTTTGGGCCAGATACTTTCTGTTGTGGGGGCTGTCCTGTGCATTGTAGGCCCACAGATATCCACAGGATAAAACTCAGAAAGCCCAGGGGCGCCTGGGTGGCACAGTCGGTTAAGCATCCAACTCTTGGTTTTGGCTCAGGTTGTGATCTCAGGGTCATGAGATCGGGCCTCATGTCAGGCTCCATGCTCATTTCAGAGTCTGCTTAAGACTTTCTCTCCCTCTCCCTCTGCCCCCTCCCCCTGGTACTTGCACACATGCTTTCTCTCTCTCTCTCTAAAAATAAATATATTTAAAAAGAAAGAAAGAAAGAAAGAAAGAAAGAAAGATGCTGTAGCAGCATCTCTGGTCTCTACCAAGCTGATGCCAGCAGCGGGCTCCCCCACAAGTTGTGAAAACCAAAAATGTCCCTGGGCTTGGCCAAATGTCCCCTGCGGGCTACCCCTGGCTTCCAACTGAGAACCATTCTCTCTCATTCTCTCTTTTTTTAAGGATTTTATTTATTTATTTGACACACAGACAGCGAGAGAGGGAACACAGGCAGGGTGAGTGGGAGAGGGAGAAGCAGGCTTCCCGCTGAGCAAGGAACCTGAGAGAACCATTCTCTTAACATGCCCCTATTTTAAGAGTTTCTGAACCTTAAAATAATGGAAAAGTCTATGTAATCAGGAGCTGAAAGCTGACCTATCCTTTGAGGGTCAGCTCTAATACCTCCCCGCTCCCCTGTTCAATCACAGCTCTGAATCCCAGCTCCTTTGCTCTCTTCCTGCCCACTGCGTCTGCTCGCTTTTGAGGGAATAAAACACCATGAGTTGGAACATGGCAGGAGCTCAATAGATGTTTATGGAGAATCTTTCCGTGTATGTGCTTTGTTTGAGAACCAACTTGCAGGCCACTCCTTTTTTTTTTTTTAATTTTTATTGTTATGTTAATCCCCATCATTAGTTTTTGATGTAGTGTTCCATGATTCATTGTTTGTGTATACACCTAGTGCTCCATGCAGAACGTGCCCTCTTTAATACCCATCACCAGGCTAACCCATCCTCCCACCCCCCTCCCCTTTAGAGCCCTCAGTTTGTTTCTCAGAGTCCATCGTCTGTCATGGTTTGTCTCCCCCTCCGATTTCTCCCCCCTTCATTCTTCCCCTCCTGCTATCTTTTTCTTTCATTTTTTTTCTTAACATACATTGCATTATTTGTTTCAGAGGTACAGATCTGTGATTCAACAGTCTTGCACAATTCACAGCACTCACCATAGCACATACCCTCCCCAGTGTCTATCACCCAGCCACCCCATCCCTCCCACCTGCTGGAGTGGGGGGTGGGGTGGGAGGGCACTCCTGATGGGCTCATGGAACGAAGATGTTGGTGTCTGCAAGGATAAATAGGAGTTCACTTATGAGAATAAGTGTGGGCTGGTGACCGTGGGGCAGGGTGTCTAGGATGGTCCAGGCAGAAGGAAGAGCACGAGCAGAGGTGCATGATCATGAGAGGGCCCCGGGGTATGTTTGGAGGGAGAAGAGTCTGGTGTGCCCGAAGACCAGCCGGCGGGAGGCCAGGCTGGAGAACAATGCTGCTGACAGGGCAGGTCATTCGGGGTCAGGTGCAACCACTTATGAATGTGCACCCAGTGCCTTCCATGTAGATAGAGCACCTTGGGTTCAAATCCCGACTCTCCCAGTTAATTAGCGATCTGGTTAACTTTTCTGTGCACCACTTTCCCCATTTGGAAAATGGGGCGAGCCTAGTGGCCTTTCTCCAGAACTGCTGTGAAGAGATCAATCACTGTGAAGCCCTTAGAACAGCGCCCGGAAGGCAGCACGCACTTGGTAAATGTTAGTTACGCACAGTTACCTTCCGAGTCACTGACCCACTGTTCCTATCACTAGTGATAGTAGTTCTAGTCCCCTCTGCATTTTAAGAAGAGTTCATTCTGGGACAGGACCCTGGTAATGGTTTTATCTTCACGTTGCATTTGTGAGCAAGATATTTGTTTAGTCATGAATTCAGTTAACAAATATTTCTTGAGCACCTACTATGTAATGGATACTGATTGGCAGAAGAGGGAGAAGAACACTCTAGGCAGAAGGTGCAGGCTGAGCCAGGGCCAAGAGGAGAGAAAGCACAGGGGAGGGGAAGGAGCTAAAAGCAGTTGGGGGCTGCTGGAGTTTAAGTGGGGGGCAGGGAGAGGTAAGGGGGAAGCAGGGAGAGTCAGAGGAGGCAGGGAGGGCGAGGGCAAGGCAGGGCAAGGTGAAGGGGGCAAGGGGAGTGGAGGGAAGTAGGGAGGGTGAGGAGGAGACAGGGAAGGTGAGGGGAGCACAAGGAGTGAATAGAGGCAGGGGGAGTCAGTGGAGGCAGGGAGGGTGAGGAGGGCAGGGTCCGAGGGGGAGAGCACGGGAAAGAATCACCAGCTCTGCTGTGTGCAGCCTTTCTGACTTGGTGGCCCCAGCTTCGAACTCCGCCCGTCCCCAGATCTGTCCTCTGGATGCATTCCCTCCTTCCCACCTTCTCTCTTTTTTCTTGTAAGGAAAGTCCGTTTGGCTAAAGGAGCTGAAGAAATGGGATACTCTTCTCTACCACCACTGGCCTCCTTCTCATCCCCATTCTCCCCCAGAGCTCCCACAGGAGAGCTTTCTGTGGCTGATCTTTAGTTTCCTTTAAAACAGGTTTCACCTTCTTAGCGTTCTGCCCTCTGTCTCCTATTCTGTTTTTCTTACAGGAACATGGATTGAGCGAGCTTCTACCCCAGTGGGAGAGAGCCACAGTGGGGGTTGTGGGGTGAAGCCTGCTAGGAATGGGGGCCCTGTCAGACCCCTCTGACAAAGGGAGGCTTTGAGAGTGTGAGCTTGGCGCGTGGGGGTTCTGCGTTTGAATCTTTGTCCACTCTTGGCTGTGTGACTATGGTAGCTACCTGACCTTTCTGAGCGCAGTTTCTTCTTCTAAGAGATGCTAACCCGCCTCGGAGGGAGGCGTGGGGATTAAACGGGTTGATGTATAATGTAAAGGGCCTAACTTGTAGTAGGGCCTCAATCTATGTTAGGTCCCTTCTTTAGGGGCAGGAAAGCCCAACACCACCTTCACTGCCGACCCTGGGGTGTGTGGAACCCCCTCTTCCTTAGGGTGGGAGCCCTTTAAGTCCTAGAGGAAAGCTCCTAGCAGGCTATTGGTGCCTCTGCTTTCCCCCTCTAGCAGTGGCAAGCACCCCACTTCGTGGCTACACTCCTGTGGCATCCTGTGGCTCCCCACTATCACATGACACACGGCACGGGGTCTGTATTGTTCATGGGAAGGCTATGAGCCTGCACAAAGCAAGCTCTCAGTGACTAAATGTTGAAAGAGTGGCGGGTGGGTAGATGGGCTCGTTTTGCTTTCTACGGTAGGATAGGTGAGGCTTTCAAGAGTATTTTCAAAGATGGCAGGGAAAAGTTTCCAAGTCACGAAATAGATCCCCAAATCTCTGGAGGTTTCAAGTTGTGAACTAAGTTTCAAATCGTGGATTGGTTGGGAACCAGGGAAGCAGAATTTCCTCTTGGAGACAAGTCCTTGCTTAGTTTGATTTCAACCATTGGCCACAATATTCTTTCTCCCTTTTGTCCAGGATTTTTAGCATCCCTAAAAGGCTACACTTTCTCTAAGAGGCTACACATATCTCAGTCACCTTTCTACCTAGATATGGCCAATGGATGTAACTGGAAGCATTTTACAGATGCTTCTGGGTAGCTAACCTAAAAAAAACCCCACTCTTTTATACCAAAGGCCATTGAACTGTACACTTTAAATGGATGGATTGTATGGTATGTGCATTATATCTCAGTAAAGCTGTTTAAAAAACCCATGCCCTTTGACTCCTTTGTGTACACCCTTTACTAATTGTGTTACCTGGAATAAGGATGAGATGGCCGGTGTTCTGGCTACCATCTTGGACTATAAGGACAAAGGCTACACTTTAAGAATGGCAGAGTAGTAAGCTGGAAATGAGCTGGGTCCCTGAGGACTTCATTGACAAAGTCATTTATCCAGTTTTGGATTACATATCTCTAGACTATTGTGTGAAATGGAAACAAACTTCTGTTTTATTTGAACTACTGTCAGTTGGGTTTCTGTTATTTGCAGCTGCATTTAAACCTTATAGTTACAACATTGGGAGGCTATGTCTTTTAGCTTCCTATCTCTTGTGAAACAGGCAGATTCACCCACATGGACCGCAATCACTTCTGGGGCCCTCATGTGCTGTGAGACCTCCTTGAACCACATTTTATTATCTGAAACGTGGAGGTAATTATACTTTCCCTATCCTGCTTATTCATGGGATTGACATAATCAATGAGATCCTGTGTGGGGAAGTACTCGGAAAATTAGAATCTGCTTTACAAATATTATGCATGAAGGTGTTATCACTGGCTCCCTATCTTTTTTATTAAAATTGGACACACGAGGGAGAAAAGCAGAAAATGTAAATGCAGAGAGAAAAAAGGCACATCAGCATTTCCTACCGACCACCCGTGGATTATCATCACCAGGGGCAGAGAGGAGTTGAAGCCACACCGCTGTAACGTGTCTGGGTGATTCAGCCGAATCTGACAGCCCTTATCCGTTTCTTCTTCAAAAAGCAGAAATCTGGTCTCTGTCTCCTGCAATGCTTCCTTTGTTTCAACAGCTCTCGATCTTCTTCCAACTGGCTCTGGAATGTAAGATTGGAAACAGTGCTTACCCTGGCGACTGTCCCACCTCTGCCGGCTCTGGGACAGCCCAAAGTTTCCTAAGAGCACCAGCCAGCAGGGTTACTGGGAGGTACTGGAGGTAGGCATGAACCGCAGCTTTGGGGAACCCAAGAGGGCATGTCCAGCAGAATAGCCATTTCTCCTCTGGGAGATGATGAAGGCTGACCTATGAGAACCCAACACAGAGGTAGAGGGAGCCAGATCCTCCATCCTGCCATCCTGACTATGGGCTCAGCCAGTCAGATATTGAAGTACCTCGTGGACAATAGGGATATGGAAGAGGCAGTTGTATAAGATGAGTATTTCACCCTGAGTCACACTGCCAATAAGCAGTGGCATCAGGATTTGAACCCAGCTCCCTCTGATTCCAATTGCCTACATCCCTATACTGCAGAGATAGTGAATAGAGCACGTTAGTTAGATGACACTATGCATTTGCCCATGTAGTTCCGCACATTGTCACTTGCAGACACGTTATGCCATGTAGCCTTGCCTGGACCAGGTAGGGTTCGGGCAGAAAGGATCTCAAAGGAGTGGCTGATTCTGCTTGATGCAGGGAGTGACACTGGGAGGAGGACTTTTCAGAAAAAATGATGCTGATCCTGCCTGGAAGGATAGACAGGGGCTTGTGTGGGGGGCTGTGTGGGTGGTGGGAGGGAGCAGGGCTTTCTGAGCTGGGGGAACAGAAGAGTTAGGGCTCAGAGGGTGGCACCTTGTGGGCACGAGGAGGAAAGAGACAAGCCTGGGCAGCCGGAGTGTCAGGGGCCCCAGGATGCTGGGAGTCTGGACTTTATGCCCGAGATGATAAGTTTGCTGCTAAGGCATTTTTCAGCAGGAAAGTATAAATGAGTATCCATTCAGAATCTCTCAAAGACTGTAGAAGAATGGGGTAGGGGAGAGAAAGATCGTTTTTAAGATTTTACCTTCAGTTGTTTTCTCAAAATGCCTTCTAGTCTTTCTTTTGGGGGAGGCTGCTCCTGGTCTTGAGTCATTTTGGAGTGGTGATGAGCAATCACGCAACTCTGCCAGGTCGGCCATGCTCCTGGCCAAAGACAGACACCTCTGCTCAGGGGCTGTGCGAAGCCCAGGGAGGTGCTCTGTTCTCAGGGTTGGGGCACCAAGGTGGGTGACCACTTTTGTGCCAAGATTAGAGATCAGGCCAAGAGCTGGGGGAGGATGCCTTCATCATCCCTTCTAGCCCAGGGTGGGCTCTCTGGGGATTGAGGGGCATACCAGCATTTTTGGGCAGTGACCTCAATTGAGCCTAATTATGAAGGATCCCAATCATTCATTCTGAGCATAAAGTCATTCAGGCTTCTCAAACAATAAGTCTTGGGCTTTTGGTTTCAGGGGACAGCAGGATGGAGAGATGATGAACCTACAAAGTGCAAGGGGAGGTATTAATGAAACCAATTTTCCTACCCAAAGGTTATTAATTTGAAAGGTTATTAATTTCCAGCAAAGGGCAATGATTTTTCACTAAGATGACAGAGTGAAATGCATCATATTTTATTAAAAGGAGATGTGAGTGAGAATCTGAATAACTGCTCTGTGATTATTAAGAAAATGTCTGTTGCTCAGTGTGGCTTTCCCAAGCTTAGAGGCTGCCCAAGATTGTCCTCATCCCTGCCAGGGGGCTCTCAGCTCACGTTCCCCATTTCGCTGCCCCACCAGCTTCCTGGTCTTCTAAGTAGAAGCTGGGCTGTCACCTTGCACTCCTATACCAGCCTTCCAATCAGTCTGAAGCTTCAGGTTCCCAAATATCCCTAGAATCCAGTGTCCCAGCTCAGGTGCATACTGCGTCTTGCTTGGTTGATTTCAACAGCCCCCTAACACATCTCTCTCTCTCTCTCTCTGGTCTTGACATCCTCCCCCATGCTGCAGCTCAAAGATACTTCCTAGAACGGGAATGACTATTAGATCCTTTAGTGACTTTGAGCTTCGTGGTGTCACAGCCAAGGTCACCACCCCAGTGATAACCCCTCATTCTCCAGCTCACCCCTACCTGCTACCCATGGCCAATGGTTCCCCCTACCTTGGCCCTCTCGCTCCCACCTCTGTCGCTGTGGCTTCCATTAAAAAGGAACTCAGACATTACACCCTGGAGGAAGCCTTCTCATCTAGCCAGAGATCATTACTTCCTCTCGCCGCCAGCGCTGTGTTGGGTCCTTGCTTCTAATGTGCTTGTCATGGGGTCTGGTAATTTATTTGTTTAGGTGTGTGCTGTTTTCTCCATCAGGCTCTGAGCTCATGGAGGTCTGTGCTGGTAGGGGCTCAATGAATGCTTAGTGAATGATGTATTCTGTGGCATCCTGGTCTCACATCAAACGCGAAGATCTGATTTGTCAACCATTCATGCACTGGCGTGAACGAAATGTAACTAACTTTCTTTAATTTAGTGACGGAATAGCTACATCTTCCTTCGTTGTAGGATAGCTGACTCCAATGCTCGAGAAGACTATATATGAAAACAAGATGGGAGTAGAAATAGTACCTATCTCGGGCGCCTGGGAGGCTCAGTTGGTTAAGCGACTGCCTTCGGCTCAGGTCATGATCCTGGAGTCCCGGGATCGAGTCCCACATCGGGCTCCCTGCTCGGCAGGGAGTCTGCTTCTCCCTCTGACCCTCCCCCCTCTCATGTGCTCTCTCTCTCTCTCTCTCTCTCTCTCAAATAAATAAATAAAATCTTAAAAAAAAAAAAAAAAAGAAATAGTACCTATCTCATGAAGCTGTTACAAAGATTAAATAAGATATTTGTAAAGAGCTCAGAACAATGCCTGACATATAATTAGCACCCACATAAGGCTGTGTTAAAGTAAGTACGAGTTGGAGTGGCATCTTGCATTTTTGATCTGTGAAATCCTTTTTTTCTGTGAAAATTTACCCCAGTTGCCCTCACAGGACCAATTCTGTCTCATGTGTATTCACTCTGGATTGAGCTGGGAGAATAAGCTCTCACGCCGGTGCCTAGGGCCAAGTCTGTTCAGGAGAGTCCTGTGGAAAAGCGGTTGTCAGATAGAAAGGCCCACAAACAGCTGAATGGAACTAGGCTCTCCCTGTTCTTCCTGGGGGCTTGGCTTTCTTTTAGCATGTAGAGGAGCGAGGAAGTTATGTATATATATGAATATATATTCACTCATCTATTTCCTCCACAAAAACTTATGAAGCATATATTATTATATTATGCCTTGGGCCCTGGCTAGGTAATATTTGGAGGCACATAGGGCACGACCTCTGTTTTTCAGGGGTCCCCAGTCCGGTGGGAGAGGTAAGTATGAGAACCAGTCCTCATGTGTGGTTGCTGTCAGTGCTGCTGTGGAGGGACACCCTGAAAAGGGCTTAGAGAAGACGCCAAGGGAAGATGGGGCATCAGTTGAGTCTAGAAGGATAAAGATTCTTGAGGAGCTCACGTCTAGGACAAACTGTTGAAGAAAGTGAGGCTCTAGTACCTAAAAAGAATCAGATTTAGTGGAGGACATGAGCCTCAAAGGGGCTGCTATGGGGAAGAGGGCCTAGAATTCTCTTGTGCAACTCCAGGAGATAGAGACGGAATCAATGGGTGGGTGTGACACTGAAGAAAATCTTAGACTTAAAGAAGTTCACAAAGATTCATAGTGGAAGAAATTAGGACAAAGAGAAAATAAGTAAAACAACAAAGACTGAAATGCTAACAGATTAGTGCTCTAGAATGCGCACGACGTGATCATCTAATGTTGCTGAAGATGGGCCACAGCTTTTAGTCTGAGCTTCTTATTGGCCAAACCAGAGAGGGAAACAGGAACAGTTATAGGATTCATGGTGTCCAGTTGCTCACACTTTCCCGGTGCTGAAGCCTGAGACGGTTTCCCTGTATGTTATTGTAAAAAGAGGTCACTGGGCGAGGCAGTGGCCACTGTCTTGAACGCCATTCCTACAAAATATGCAGTAGCAAGTTTTATGTGGTTGACTCTGAGTGCTCTGTCATCCTCAGTGGAAGCGGCAGCCACAGTGCCAAACAGCATGTAAGTCACAGGGGATCTCTGGGAGGCTCTTCACTGTAATCCAGCAGTAGTCTCTGTGACTGACTGAGGGAGGCAGGGGTCAGTTCAGGTCACATTGTGGGTGGCAGGAAGGAATAGAGCTCCAGAGCCCGAGTGTCTGAGCCTCCATGGGGACAGAGTCTGATTGCCCTTTACAGAACACAGAATGCGGCTGCATCCTCAGCCAAGCCATGGCATCAACGACACATGGCTATCGCCCATACCCACATGTATACCAAAATCTTTCCCAGACTTTAGCCCCACATGTAGCCAGCTCTTGACTGAGCACCTCTTACCAGGGGATCCTTTCGGTACTGCAAACCCAGTGAGGCCAAACCGAATTTATTTTCTTTCTTCCCAACCCATTCTTCTTCCTTTCTCTCTACATTTCCTCTTGTGATGCAAAACACCATTATTTATCCATGCTGTTGCTCAAGCTAGAAAGTTTAGAGCTGTTCTGGGATATTCTCTCTGTCGCCTTGGTGACCCTCATGGGTCACCAAATACTGAGGACTCAGCCTCATGATTATCTTTTCTCTCCTCTGCCACTGGCCTAGTCTAGAACCTCATGCAATTTTTTTTAATTGCGAAATTGAAATTGAAATTGTGAAACTGTTTTATATTTTATTTGTAGAATTAATACACACTCATTGTATATGTATAGGTATATAGAATTTGAAAAATGCTGAAAATGAATAAAGAATCTCACTACTGGGACAAAAACACAAGTAATATTTGGAGTATTTCCTTCTAATCTTTTATTATGGAGTTTCGTAGATATTTATTTGGAGCGTCTAAAATTGAAATCGTATTATGAGAATGGTTTCATATCCCTCTTTGCCTGTCATGATAATTTTCTTGGGCGCCTGGGTGGCTCAGTTGGTTAAGCGACTGCCTTCGGCTCAGGTCATGATCCTG